ATGTCCATTAATAGAGAACTAGAAAAATAGATTACAAGTATATCCATTCAAAGGAAATGTTTAGCACACTTTGATCTGTAATAGCAATAAATAAAAAAATAAGGAACCACCCAAATGTCCATTAATAGAGAACTAGAAAAATAGATTACAAGTATATCCATTCAAAGGAGTTTTGCATGGTTAAAAAGTAGAATCATGTAGAAGAATATGAAACAATCAGGAAGATATTTATAATGCATTTTAAATAAATGAAACGTGTTTCAAAAGCATATAAATACAATCCCATTTCTTGAATATTTATATATATATATATATATATATATTTGTGCAAAGTGCTACCTGGAGCTATGTCTGGGTAGAGAGGTTATACATGAAGTGATTTCTAAAAATTCCCATGGCAAGAAGGTAGGATTAGCTTTCAAACCTAAATATAAACACATCAAACTCCCAGACCTAGCCTCTTTTGACCACATTTTACTGACTCCATAAAATCTGCACAAGGTTGTATTAACTAGCAATTCCATAACGGGCTCAGAAAAACAATTTAATTTAGTTAAACCAAAAAGAACATTCTAAAAGGACCAAGTATTGTATGTTTCTCATTTTTAATTCTTCACACTAGTTCCAGGATTTATATTTACATTTGTTCCCTCAATATTTGGACTCTTGAGTTGCAGAGTTAAGTACGTATTTGGTTCCAAAAGATCAACTGATTTTAGAGCTCACCCACTCCTTCTGTCAAAATTCTCACGTGGAGTCTGCACAACTTCTCCTGGTAATTTGTTGCAGGCTGCAGAGCAGAACTGGAACGTTCAGGGCACTAGCATGTGTACAGCAGGCAGAGGACATGGAACAGTCAAGGGCATCATTCTTTTCTATTGATTCTTTTAAAGGCCCTGCAGAGACCGTTCATTGAGAGGGTAAAAATATTCCCCCAAACAGGGTGAATTTCTGGGAGTTCATTAACATTCTCTAATATCCATTCCTACTTTTTTACTTTTCTAGCCCAGAGCCAGGATGGTTTAATTTCTACTTCACACAAACTAAGGCGAGGAGATGAATCAGAGAGTTGGCACTTGACTTTGGAATCTTGACTGAAAGTGCAGCTGATTAATCCTCCTACCATGTGTGTATTCCCCTTTCTTCCTATCTTTCAGGTTTGTGTGGCAGACAGACGCTATGATATTTTAATGGCTGGAGAAATGCATGGAACAGTCAAGGGCATCATTCTTTTCTATTGATTCTTTTAAAGGCCCTGCAGAGACTGTTCATTGAGAGGGTAAAAATATTCCCCCAAACAGGGTGAATTTCTGGGAGTTCATTAACATTCTCTAATATCCATTCCTACTTTTTTACTTTTCTAGCCCAGAGCCAGGATGGTTTAATTTCTACTTCACACAAACTAAGGCGAGGAGATGAATCAGAGAGTTGGCACTTGACTTTGGAATCTTGACTGAAAGTGCAGCTGATTAATCCTCCTACCATGTGTGTATTCCCCTTACTTCCTATCTTTCAGGTTTGTGTGGCAGACAGACGCTATGATATTTTAATGGCTGGAGAAATGGTGTCAGATTTGATGATGGTGATAGAGGAACAAAAGAGTTTTTACAATTAGTACAGCATATGGACTTTGTCAAAAGAAAATGACGTCAACTGCATAAGAAAAGCATTCAAAGGCATGAGAAGACACAGTAGCCTTTGAAAGACCAACCTTAAGAGACTTTTCTGGCAGCAAGGAGAGTAAATAAAAGAAGAAATCACAAGAAATGAGATTTCTGCAGACAACAAGCCAAGGTGAAGGCGTTACACAAATGTGACTTAATCTCATTCTACCCATTTTGGATGTAATGAAAAGAATAAGATTAATCTACAAAGAGTAGTGAATTTAAAGCAAAAAATTGTGCATCTGGTCCTGGCTGAGTGATACTGGTGACATGACCTGACCTCACTATTCCTCCATTTGTTGAGAAAGGGACAGGATACCTGCTGGACTGCCACCTAGGCTTGCTCTGCAGCTAAACAACAACGAAAAGACAAAACAAACAAAAACGAATGGATGTCCTTGGAAGACTGAAACTGCTACGCAACCCTTAGCTATTTATTAGAATTATCCTCTAAAGTGCTGGCAAGAGTTTGCTGGTCTGGGTGACTAACAGGTGCCCCAATGGTATTGGGAAAAGCTGACTAGCAAAACATTTTTGACTCTGGGATGAAATAAAAATAGTCATGCCATTTTTATAACCCAGGTTACGAAAATGCTAGGCTGGAACATGTAAGTAAACTTCCTAAAATAGGCACAACCTGGAAATGAACTCAGGTGGGAGAGGAGCTATGATCAGGTGGCAGGATTTATTTATGGTCTATCAGTTGGACGCATATCAGGGGCAGGGTAGATGAGTGCAAAGAAAGAATTTGGGAACAAAATAAATTGAAAGTCCACGTGAGATCCTTCACTATTCTGGGCAAATCATGTACTTTCTGTGACACTTCAGGTTTCTCACCTGTGAAATGTTTAGTAAAATAATGGGTATAAGAATACTTACTTTTCAGGGTCAACATGTGCATTCAATTATATTAAGTAACACAAAGTGCCTAGCACAAAGCTTGGGGCCTGGGAGGTCGTCAGTGAATGTGAGTTATCATCTCACTTCCCCTGGTTCCTTTCATAGTCTACATACTTGTTTACCCATATTTTTTATATTTGATTTCTTTCTTGGACACTTGTAGCCTCTCTGTATGTACTAGAGCAACCTACCCATAGGACTCCTTTCAAATGTTTATACAAAATCCATCTTTTCTCCACTATGTCCATCTGATTATAATAAAATCACTCATCATGTATCCTGTGTTAGAATTACTTTATTGATCCTATAATGGTGTCCAATAAAAATTCAGTGTGTCAATACTTAGGATGTCTGACATAACTGCTGTCCCCAATAATATGGAGTGACACTTGGAAGCGCAAATTCAGAGGCTTTCTAATTTCCTTATTCCATTTCCTCAGAGTAACATCGAAACAACATATTCAAGGAAAAACATCACTTTTTATTTTCCTGGATGGAGAAGGATTAACACTAAACAACGTGTCTGAAGGTTATCTGAGAGTTATTACTATGGCGTATGTGCAGATACACGTGTGTGCGTGTGAATGTTACTTCTTTTTCTCCAGTAAATCTACCCTTTCTTTCCCCCTTCTTCTTAAAAGGGTGGTTGCCCTTTAGGCCTAGAGAAATTTTATTCATCTAGTTAAATGTTACTTCTCCTGAGAATTCTCAGATGACATATGGACCCTCTCTCCCCACCCTAACACCGAGAAGAAATAGTTTATCTTTCTCTTGTACATCATAACATTTTGTTTATAACATGAGGCACCATCATAATCAAGGTCTACACCTTCTATGTGTTCCTAAGAGATGGCACAATGTATGAAATATAGTTGGCACTTGTATGGAGTTTGAACAAAGGTGTGGATGATTGATTCTTTCTTCCCCTTATTTCCTATGGATTCTTTCTGTAAAAAGTTTGCAGAGTATAACAATGTGGTGCTATCTTAAGAGCTGGGGAAGTGGGTCAGATCTGGGGATGGTGTTGGAGGAAAGACACCATGTTACTTTTCCCCCTTTCCGTTTTCCTCAAGTTGCATTACTTTTTAAAATTATATCACAGGAATTTCCATTCCAACCTCCAGAACAACATTCTGTCAGCATTATGTTAGAAAAGGATTAATTTGAAACAATTCTTAAGTAATACACAGGGCACCTTCCAATAGCCTAGGGCCACTTTCTCCAGCAAAATCTTGGGGAATTCTTT